GCGTCAAAAATAGAGTTTCTCACTCAACCAAATTTGTTTGCCGTAAGATTATATTAAAAAGGGGGAGGGGAGGGGGGAGGGGGAGGAGAGAGGGGGAGAAATTGCAGAGAAATAATAAAGAATGACGGAGTGGAATAACAAGTTGCGAGCGCGGTCGTATCTCGCGGCGAGAATCTCGCGCTTCGATCGACGCCTATGCGGGGAAACTGGAAGTCAGCCGAAAGAAACGGTACTCGGAGGATCACCGCGGATGAACGTTCCATCCCATAAGCTTGTCCTCCATCGGAACGTATAGTGTCTCGTGGCTTGGTGCACGGACTTGTGCACCGCTGCATCGTATGTCGCGCCACTCCGCCCCGGCCCGTAGATACGTGCAGCACGAAGATGCGCCGCAGGATCACCGACTGACAGCTTCCTAATGGAACCCGTAAATACCGCACCGGGCACGTTATGTTTTCCAAATGAAATCCCGAAAATTTACTTCGGAAACTCACCGCCGCCATTTATCCTCGGGACGAGAGGATATTTTGTTCTCTTTAATAATAATATTGATACTAGATCGCGGGATAATTATTATCGGTCGTTTCTGCGTATTGAAACATCAATCGGGAGCGTCTACAATAGCGTTGCATCATTATGCGATTGATAGGCCGGCGCATGATAATCCGATCTGAAGCGAACGAAAAATCGTCTAAACGGGAGCTGATAATTAGGCGAGCTCCGTATTGATTGACTCAATTTCCAACTCGATGGAACGTCCACTTTAATTACACGAACGGACAATACGTCGGCAATAAATATTCATATTGCGATATTGTAATATCGTGATACGCAATATCGTAATACGCTAATATCGCGCATGTAATAATAGTCCGCTTAGTCCGTTATTTATGCGCGATTAATTACTGCTGTATAACTGTGAAAAGGAAACCGTCGCGCGTAATCAAAGATTCGATAAAATTCGAAAATATCGGGGAGAGAGAGAGAGAGAGAGAGAGAGAGAGGAGGGAGGGAGGAGAGAGAGAGAGAGAGAGAGAGGGAGGGAGAGAGAGACATGTGACAATTATAAACGTATAAAACGTATAAAAATTCAGCAATAAGAGATAAATGACGGGATGCCTTATAATATCCCGTGCGTACGCATTTAGTTACATTATTACCGCACAGGTACGTTCGACGATTACCGCGATGAGATGCGGGCGCGTGCATGTAATCGATATCGAAGCCAGATAAAAATGATATTATGGCGCTGCGATTATGACACCCGCATCGCAGATCGAATCGGTCGCACAGTCGTCCGCTCAACGCCACTCCATCCAGATATAGGATGCAGATTGCAAATACGATTAAGCGTTATTGCGTTTTCTACTTTTCTCGGAATTACATTCTTTCAAATTTTATTACCCGCCGATATCGATTGGTCGTGGCACACGGTCGTCGTCTCTTGGCATGCGCACACGCGCACGCGAGTTAACACGTACGAGCAGCCGACCGGATGAACGGCACACAATCGCGTCACACCGCGCGCCAAAGCGTATGATATTAATTTGCAAAAATTAACACCTCAAAAGCTGAAAAAATCAAACGCTCGAAAAGCCAACGAACTAGAACGGAAGATTTTAATCATCCGATAAACGAATTTCTCTAAATGAATTTATGATTGAAAAGTCGCGTCGGCGATATCCGAGGGCTATCAGAGTGGTACACCATAAAAATCTGGTCTGTTTTTTACTTTGTCTCCTTTTGATTGCAAAAATGCAATTAATTCTCCGTTTCCCGAAAGAAGGATTTTCGGAGTAGAGATCTTTTTCCACCTACCCCTTCCATTGTTTCGCGACCAATGGTACAGGCGATAGGAGCGCTTGTAGATTCGCGCCCGTTCGTGCCAGGGCAAAGTGGCTATTTTCCGGCCAGTGCTCACCGATTAAGAATCCGATCCCGGCCAAGGAGCAAGGGATAATCCAAACTCGAGAATCACGAATGAGCTTTCTCCCCGAGTTTAGCATTAGGCGCTGCGAAAAAATAAACTAACGTTCACGATAAGCATTTTGATAAGCGTCTAGATCCATCCTTAACGTTCGCATTAATCGTTCAACAAATAACGAAATAATTCCATTATTCTTTTATATAATCTTATCATTTTTGCAAAACTCTTGTCTCGTGAAATCTTCTTTTATTTACCGACCAAATCAACAAGCAAACTTGAATTATTTTGTACAAAAAAATAGGGGTAAAGGCAAAATCGAGGAACGGTGAAACGAGTGAACTAGCGAACGGCCGACGGGGGAAAAGGGGGATGGCGGCCGTGAAGTAAATAGGAGTCGTGGTCGTTCTGCCGTAAAATTGTATGTGAAATTGTGCGATGTGTCTTGCGAATTGAATCGCCGGAAACGACATTGATTTTATTGCTTGTTTCCAGTACTGTATACTTCATCCAACCCTCTTCTCCATCTTCCAACCCACCTCCCCCGCGTCCCACTCAGAACCGCGACACGTTTTCCATTGCCATCTCGGCAATCCTTACTTCGTTGTCTTCGTGCGATCCGATGTATCGTCTAACACAAATCGATTTTACATAAAAAAGTGATTTTCTTAAGAAAATTGCTAGATTGTTCAATCTCTAAAATAGCCTCTGCGCAATCTTTATATTACGGTAAGAGTACAATATCGGGGATAAATGTATTGTTCAGAGGAATCGCATTGAGCGAAAAATATCAAATCAAACAGCGAGCCATAAAACCACGCTGCTAATATTTTCAACTATGAAAACTGCCACTTGCTCGGAAGCGAATACGCGGGCCATAATTTTCCTTCAATGATTTACCACGGGCTAATTGCAGAATGCAGCGAGCGGTAATATCGCTTTGCAGGGTTACGTCCGGGGGAGGGTAGCTATACTTTAGTTTGCAATTTAAACTTTACTTCCTCCGGAATTGATTAGCTTTTAGTAATTAAGCAAGCAACGCCTTGGACCCCCGCCCCCTTACCGCCCGTTCCCTACGCCGCATTTCGCCCCGCGTCTCCTCCGCGCCCCTCGCTACCTCCTACACCCCTCCGTCGCCTTTTCCTCCTCCTCCTCCACCTCCTCATCCTCCTCATCCTCATCCTCATCCTCCTCCACCTCCACACCATCTCATTCCCTTCGCCCTTCTCGTCGCTATTTCCCTTTTCTCGTTCGAGTTCGGTCATACTATTCCATTTCGGCGAACGCGCCTGCGCTGATTCACGCGCGCGTTGATTCTTCCGTCCTGTACGTACCCCCCCGCAAAAGCCTCTCGCCCAAGTGCCCGACGTACCCTCTCTTCGTAAGTGCCTTGTTTCGCCACTGATTCCTCATCCGGTCGGTTGTGCGCCCGTTTTCGATCTTATTAGATTGAAATTCATTCGCGTTTCACGGAGAGTAACGTAATTTCCTTTTATTACTATTTATATTGTTCCCATATCACAAAATCGATTGAAGAGCTTATTTTCAAATCGTCTTAAACTCCTATTTTTAGAAAATATCATTCTATTATGTGTGCGCGTGTGTGTTATCATACATAATTTCCATCTTTCAAAAAAATATAAATTTAAAATGGTTTGGAAATGACAAGCTCTTTTGCAATAAATCTTGCATGAAAAATTATTTTTTAAATAATACATGTGTTGCGCGAGAAGATAGCTTGTTCGATAAGTATTTTAGTACGCATGGTTTCACTACTGAGAACCACTGCCAAGCTAATTTGAATTTCAATTTGTCACCAAAATTTCACGAATACGCAGTAGACTTTTATTAGAATGTGCAAACGTTTCGATATAATTTTCATGATGGGCAACAGGAAGCCCAGCACGCTATCGATCGAATGTCGAAAATGTAATTCGATACAACGCATCTTGCTGCGCGCGTAAATTAATGCAAATTATGCGGAGTGTCTCGATTTTCGAGACCACATCGCAAATCAACAAAATGCATTCCGTGAATGGTAATGACAATCATAAACCGATAATTTGATTTTTACGTTATAACCAATGCCCTAATGACGGGATCATATCTTTTCAATGTTCAGGTACATGGATAGAATAGATAAGATAATATGTATGTATAAATAGTACAATGGAATTAAATCTACACAAAAAGACGTGGGGACGAAATCACGCGCGGCAAACGCGCCAAGTTGCGCGCGATCGTCGCGTTTTCAAATCGAGGCAACAACGCGATTGCGAGACAAAAACATCTGACAAAAATTCACCTTTTCGAGCATTCCAATAATAGCTCAAAAAACGTTCTAGTAATATCCCAAAAGATATACTAATAATATCTTTTTCTTCCATAAATAATCTTATTTGTCCGAATGATTTGTGTGCATGTAAACAATCATAACCTATCACAATTTATCACTGTTTATCTCTTTCGTTATATCTCTTAGTCATTAGTGCCTTTCCACAAATTACACCGCATTTCCTCCGCTTGTTATCGTCGTTAATTGTGATCTCATATAATAGGAATTCTCTCTATTCTACGATAGCAGGACATCAAATTCCAATTACTCACCAATACGAGGACAAGGAACCCGTCCGCCGATGAAATCCTCGCGACAGGTAGTCGTCCGCCCTTAGCAATGCGATGTCGCAGTCCGAAGCACTCATGTAGCACAAGCCCGTCGGCGACGTCGTCGTCCGTCGTCGTTGTGTTGTCGTAACGGAGCCGTACGAATATACGGAGATTCGCGGGAGAGCGACGTTTCACACAAGAGCACGATTCCCGATATCCGGACTCTTCACTCGAATAGGTTATGACGATCGATCGGTTGCACGCGTGCCACCGAAGTCAGTCGCTCGGTTAAGTCATTCGCGCGCTAACACTTGGCGGAATAAATGTAATACTTCGGCGTCTCGCGTCAATCTCGGGGATTCGCACACCGTACCGTGTCGTCCGTCGCTGCGCCAAGTCGTACACTGAGGCGTACCCGCCACGGCCGTTCAGTGTCGCTGCGCGCAACCGCGTTACCGGCACGCCGTCGTTCGTACGTTCACTACGGCAGTCCGACACGAAATGAGAAGGGATGCATGACACGAGACTCGCCGAGAGCGCCCGACGTGGCGCGATCGCGCGCGCCTCTGCATACCCATCTGTCTCGCTTCCGCTCGTTCTCCCTCGCTCCCGCGTATCTCGATGCACAGGATACACAGGATATACGGGATCGCCGCCGTTGCTGCGGCGCGCGCGCTACGTTGTTCCGCGTACAGTCCTGCGTTATAACGGAGATCACGTCACCGGAGAGCGGCGCGTGTTCTGCACGCACGGCACCGACGGGCCCGTCCATGCGGAGAGAATCTGATCTCGTCGTGGATTCCATTTCACATTCGGTAAATACCAGAAACATAATCACTCGCGGATGATCCAAATGCGACATGAATTTTTCATGATTTATGAGTAATCTGTATGCGAAACGGACGATAGGGTCTAAAAATGCGCGACAAGTCTTTTGAGGATGAGAAATAATCTTAAACAAAGTTATTATATTGTAAATTGGCAAGAGGTTAGGTTAGGTTAGATAAACATGTGCAAAGCCGGGATATTACGCATACTATGAAAAGTTACCGATCATTTACGCGATGCCAAAAAATACAGCATGAGAATATACTTGTTCCGTTAGCTATCACGCCGCATATATTTACATTGCATATTACTGCCGGAAGCAGTATCGAACAACAAACATCGCGTCGGTGTAAACGCTCAATTAATATCAAGTAACGAATATATCAGTTAAATAGTGATTTTGGCGTCGCTCGGGTTTTATATGGCGTAACGCACGGAAAGTTGAACAAAATATCGTTAATAATCACACATTGAGGAGGGAGAGAGAGAGGGGGAGAGTGAATGTAATCGTCGCTTTTATCGGTCTCCACCACCCGGTAACGAGTGCCCGAAAATTCCTCGGTCGGTCCGCGCGCACTGACGTCGCCCTCGCGATAATAATTACTGCTAATGTAAATGTTCGTTAATGGACGTCATTAAATGCAACGCCGGCGGAATGGCCGCGGGGCGCCCGTGTAAGTCTATACACACGCTCGCGGGGCTTTGCCAATTATATTAATTAAATAAACATTATAATCAGCTAATTAAATCTAGCGCACTCAACCACCCCGCCGTGCTCCGCGCACCGCGCCCCGCGCCCCGTACATGCCTCTCGCTCCACCGTAAAGATACACAATATCGTGAAATTCAATCGTGTCGAGCAAGATTTACTATCGGGAATCGCTTGCGCGGTTCGTCGTGGCGTTTCAGCGAGAGCGCCGCTGCGATTCGACGCGTAATTGCTTGCCGATAAACGTTTAATTAAGCTCCGCGTGGAAAAGTCCATAGATTTTTTTATCGTAGTCCGGCGATCACGTCCGCAGAAATATCTTCGGGAAAACTACGGCGGCTGCGAGCGCGGGAGACTTGATGTTTACTCCCTAATTAAATATCTTTCCATAAAAACACGAATTCTGAGCTTAATTAAAATCAACATCACTGTCATTAAATCTTCGAAAAACATAATATCGAATTAAATGTGAGGTTATTATTCAGAATTTAAGTACAAATACACCACTAAAGACATTCCTTCCAAAGTGTTTCAAGGCTTATTATTAAGAAAAATGGAGATTTTAAAGTTTTACAGCTTATTAACGCGCCTTTTTACATAATCTCGCCAATCGCATTAACAGCGAATAGAAACGCGACGTCGTTAAACCGATCGACTCGATTATAAAAACGGTTCGGCGGGCAATTATTAGCAGACGCGATGATTCTTAAATGTATGCACGATACGGAAGCGTACACGAATACATCACACGCGTACAATCGCCCACACAAAGCTCTCTGGACTGGCCGGTTACATCGGCTCTCGAAAAGCGGTTCGTGTCATTAGTATGTTAATTGGTAACAGCCTGCCTGGCTCGCCTCCCTTGCCCCCGACTCTCGCCCCTGCCATGCCGCCAGCCAACCCGGCTGCCTGCCACATCGCGTTGCGAATGCATATACGTCGGAGCCCACCGAGTTTGTACGTTAAGATGTTTAATCACTTCTGTAATTAAACTGTCCCTCAAAGGGTTAATTGTCCCATAAACCCATGAATACGTTAACGAGCGCGCTACGCACCTCGCGAGCATCGTCGCCAGCGGCCAAGAAGTCGCGACGGCAGCGGGAATACGGAATATAAAGGCGCCACGAAGGAGGTGCACACGTGTAGGCCATTAGTTTAAGGATCGGCGTAAAAAGACGTTAAATATCAAAGAATATAAAAGTCGCGAAATATACATACTTACTCCATCTTGAAATAATATTTATTCGTGTAAATTTCACTCTAATTATTTTCAAATATTTACTTTCGACAATTACATCGTTTATAAAAATAAGGCACGTAAGTGATGAAAAATATCAGAAAGGTTAACTACTGTCGATGAGTGAAAAGCATATGAATCATCATCGTCGTTCTTTGATCCTAATTTTGTGTTACAGCGCGAATTTTCTTTATCGAGCGTATAGAATTGTTTTGCGAAACCGTCTTCAGATAAGATTCGCGCGAAGCCGACTAAAAGAACGCGAAACAAGGAAATCGTCGCCGGCTCGGGAAGTAGTAGCGGCGAAGAGTGTTAATTTTCGAAATGAAAACGAGACATCCATCTTTAGTGAAATGCTTGGTGCTCGACGCTTCAGCGCCTGGCCCATTCTCTCTCGCTCAATGCATTAGAGTAATGAATTAATTTCCATTGGAGTTCTACCTTTCTCTCTCTCTCTCTC